CATCTTATTGTTGGAAAAATACGGTATGTATTTGAATCCATTTTTTTAAAGCTTTTTTACATGTCCACCAAGCATGATAAAATGTCTCTTCATGTTGTTCACATTTGAAATGCCTTTATACATTCTAGATAATTTCTCTGGCATAATGTACCAATGATACATCATTTTATAAAAATTCTCTTTAAAATCGTAACATAATGTAAATTTCAACCCTTTTAACCACATATTTTCCCACTGATCCATTAGTATATTATAACCAAAAGTCTTAGCCTACTTTATCATACATTCTTTAACCTGTTCTTCCTCTGTTTTAAATTTCAACAAAAATGTATACATTTTAGCAATTACATGTTCATCATCGGTACACAATTATACTTCAAATTCTCTTACTTTGCATACCATAAGTCTTTTTATCCATTTTAAATCTGTCTGATAACTGTAAATGGGAAAACCATTGACAACGTTATCCTTCTGCCATTAGTTCCTCTCTTGATTTAATTTTATATTCTCCTTGATGATTTTCCAATAATTCCTGGTACGTTAACCATTTGTCTTTGCCTGCTGTTTCTCTTCTATAGAATGCTTCTTGTGCTGAGATCCACAGAAGCGTTTTCGGGCACAGCCTGGGTTTATATCTATTCCATATTCTCAGTATGGCACATTTAATAACATTATTTTAAAAATCCACATTAATTTTAATTTTATCGTACCATAAGTATCCATGCCATCCAAACCTCAGGTTGTGGCTTTCTAACTGTAAAAGTCTCTTGTTTCTCAGCAACACCCATTCTTTCATCCAGACCAAGCAACAAGCTGCAAAATACAGTTTCAAATTTGGTAAACCCAATTCTCCTCTTTCCTTTGCATCTTGTAACACTTTATTTAACTTGTGGTTTATTTCCCTTGCCATACAAATTTAGATATATCTTTTTGCCATTGTTTGAATGGGATGTTTGGGGGACTTTTCCTTCAGTCCATTTTCCCTAGAGCTGCCAGGGAGGAGGGGCTTATTAAAATGGCCCACCCCAGATATCTAATGGACCCAGCAGGTTTCCTAATGGCACTTGAGCTTTTGGTCAAGACTCTTTTGGACACTTTGTTGATCTCTGGAACACAGAGGTACAGCTAGGGCATTTGATAGAATTGCCCCTGAGCAGCCTTTCCTTGCCTGCCAATCCTGTGTAGCCCCATGATTCAGTGAGGGCCTCTGGGAAATGAAATGGGTGAAGAGATGCCTGGAGCAATGCTGGTGGAAAACAAGAAGCAAATGTGACCAGACATGAGTTAGAGCTTAGATTTGAGCTTACTCTGTGGTAATAAAGACAGTGAACCATAATTACTTCTCTGTCCTTATTACATTCATGGAATGTCAGCCAGCTGCACTGTTCAAAATGTCCCAGGCATTTGGGAAAGGATGTGCTGGAAGATCCGGTCAGTGTTAGTTGTCTGGCCAAGCATTTTGCAGATTAAATTGTTCATGTTCATTCTGAGTTGGAAGTCACATGAGCAGAATCTATGGAGAAGACAGATGTTTTTGAGCCTGTGGATTCTAAAGAAATGGGCACAATCCTCTGCAGTCTGAGCTCAGCCACCTGTGAATTGGACCCCTGCCCTACCTGTCTAATAAAAGTGGCTAGAGAAAGGGCTGGGAGTGGGATACAGGATATAGTCAATACTTCTTTGAGGAAAGGGGAGGTGCCAGAGGCTTTTAAAGGGCACTGATTCACCCACTTCTCAGGAGGCCCAGCATGGATTCAACAAAATTGGACTACTACTGTCCTATCTTTAATTTTCTCTTTCTGGGGAAGGTTATTGAAAAGGTTTTGGAGCTGCAGTTGTCAAGGGCTCTGGAGGATACAGATAATCTATACCCATGGCAATTGGGTTCAGACCTGGTCATGGGATGAAACAGCATTGGTTGCTCTGATGGATTACCCATAGCAGGACTTGGGTTGAGGAGGTGTGACCATCCTTGTCCTCCTAGATCTTTTAGCAGCTTTTGATACTGTCAACCACAGTATCCTTCTGCACTGCCTATGAGGGCTGAGGGGTTGGGGCACAGTGTTGCAGGCGGAGCCAAATGTTGGTGGGAGTTAACCCCAAGGACAGTTTTTTATGGAATGCCTTATGGTTAAGTCCTTTCCCATATCTTGTTTAGTATCTATATGAAACTGTTGGGAGAGGTCATCCATCAGTTTGGGGTGAAGTATCACCAATATGCAGGTGATAGTTATACAGTGCATCTTTACCCCAGGCCTATTGGGAGATGCAGTAGAAGCCATGACCTGGTATATGGAGGCTGTCAGGGTTTGGATATGGAAAAATATGCTCAGACTCAATCCAGACAAGTTGGTGATTCAGAGGCTTACTGATTCCAAGATTGCTCCATCTTTGACTCTTGATGGGATTGTGCTCCCTTGGAAAGAGCAGTCCTACCGTATGGGAGTCCTTGCAGACTCTGTCTCTGGTTTGAAGAGCAGGGGGGGACTCTGGTCAGGAGGATTTTGCATAGTTGTGGCTTGTGTGCTAGTTGCAGGTGGTAGATACAGATAAATCCATAAATAAATAAATAAATAAATATTTTCCCTAGTTGCTTTAAATGGGTGCTTTGGCCAGTTGGTTTTTATTTATGTATTTATTTATGTAGTTATCAAATTTGTATGCTGCCCAAATCCCAACAACTACTGTATGTATGTATGTATGTATTTTCTTTCTTTTTGTGTGCTGTGAAAAGCATAAGTGGTGAGAGAAGAGCAGGAATGGGGATAGAACTCTGGCTGGTTGTGGGTTTCTTTGTACCTTCCATCTTCAAGGGAGGACAGAGGGCAGCAGTGGGGAGAAATGTATGGTAGCACAAAACTGCTGCTGAGGATTTGTGAGGCCAGTGACTGTGTAGAAGCATCCTCAACATTCCACCCTCAATATTTAGCAGGCACTGCATTGTTACTCTTCTCCCCCACTTCTAGGATTTTTTTTAGAATTTTTTAAGGAACGTTTAAAGAATTTTTTTAGTATCTCTTCCTTTATATTTTTACTTATTATTAGATTTATATCCCACCATTATTTTGTACAACTCAAAGTTATATACATAACGCTTATACCTTTTATTTTCCCCACAACAACATCCCTGTGAGATGGGTTAGGCTGTGGGATAGTAACTGGCCTAAAATCACACAGCTGGCTTTCAAGCTTAAGGGAGGACTAGAATGCATGGTCTCACACTTTCTAATCCAGTACCTTAACCACCATGCCAAACTGGCCCTGGAAAACATTGTTTTGGCTCCATTCCAGTTAGGATTCACACTGAATTTGTTAGGAAGGAGAGTTATAGTATTTATATATTTTACATAATTTGATATGGAAAATATTAGTATATATAATTTAATTCAAACATTCTTATTATAACAATATATTGTATTAATACAGTTATAACTATTAATAATTTCCCCATAGCATATAAGTGGTTTACAAAACTTTAGGAATGTCTTATGTATTGTGAATAATACATACTGTAATTCCTTTTGAGAGTCACACAGGTTTTCCATTTTCCAGGTGTTCGGAACTTAGAATTGTATTGGGGCCTCTTCATGGTGTGATCTGCTTTAAGAAAAAAGGAAATAGGTAAATGAAGCCCCCATTCTAGCTTAGTTTCCAAATTTCCAAATTTGCTACTTTGTATTGTTTGCATTTGCATACAATGATTTTTAACGGACACTTGAAAGTTTCTTTTTGGTTCTTTTTAAAATTTCCAGCATTTATTTAGGGTTGCCAGATAAATGCAAAAACAGCCTTGGAAGGTGGTCCGCTATTCTTATCCCCACATAGAACAGCTTGTCTAAACTGGGCTCACACATTATGCTGAACTAGAATTTTCATACAATAATGATTTGCAGAGTAAGCTATTATTAGTTGGTTCATATTTCACTCTAAGCTGAAATTTTAAAGAATCCTTAGAGATGGATGTGTTAGAATGATACTTTTATATATGATTAATTTATCCATCACCTATCCATCCAAATTAATTCAATTCTCTGGGTTCACACAATTTACTCAACCATAATAGTAGAGCAAAATAGCATTCTGGGTCTGATTCCAAAAAGGTGCTTCAGAGTGCATTGGGATGCAAACATAGCCTCTGTCTGCAGTTCCTTAAAGTGAACTGTTTGGGCTTAAGGCCTATAGACAGGTGTTATGTCTGCATCCCCAAATCCTCCAAAGGACCATTTTACCTTGAAATCTAGAGCATTGCACCACTATACCCCAGCAGCTGAGTTTGAACACTACATCAGGCTATAGTATGTTTAGCTAGTTTGTGATATAGGCTCTTCTATGAATACTACCAGACATTAGCTGAATTAAACTCTGAATTTAAATTGGATATAAATTATATCCAATTTATTATATCCAATAAATTATATCCAATTTATATAATTGGATGATATAAACTGTACTGAAATAAATTTTCCAGGACATGCTTTCTCCCCATTTTATAGAATTCAGAAAGAAAAAGCAGAATCTGGGAACTCACTTTTTCTCTAATTCAGAGGAAATATGCCCCCTTCTCAAAGGTGCAGAGACAATAACATGCTTGTAAACCACTGGAAAAGAAGATAATATATTATTTTCTCTGCCCTCATTTTGAATCCCTAGTCTGAAGTCTGTCCATAGCTAGGTATACAATATGTATTTATACATGGATCCTGTTATCTTAAGATCTCAACCTATATAGAATCAAACAGTAGAGGGCAGTACATTCATACTTCAACCAAAAACTTGGGTTGATTTCCTTGCTAATAGAAAATGTAGACTTTAGTTCTCAAGTGAATTTCCCTAAATCAATCATCAGCCATTTGATTCTGAAACTGATTGTCTGCCCTCTGCCCTATGACTGAGAATAGTTTCAGAGAAGGAGAGGGGAGAGTGGTATTGGGTGGAAATACATTTTAGACACCATTCAGCTTAAACTTGCAGTGCTAATTAAAATGATCTCTCCTTTTAATCCTACAGAGGAAAGGAAAGTTATTGGGCCTTGGAAGATCTAATAATTAACTTCCCATATTATATCCAAATCCAGGATATAGCTGAACCTGGGAACTGGGCAAAACCTTTGAACCTGTGATTTCAGCAATTAAGAGTGTTTAACTTGTATGCAGTTCTAGTTCTTTCTTAGACATGAAGCCAGGTGGATGATCTTGGGCCAGTAGCTCTCTCTCTCAGCCCTAGGAAGAAGGCAAGAGCAAACCACTTCCAAAATGTTGCCAAGAAAACTGCAGGGACTTATCCAGGCAGTCATCAGGAGTCAAGACTGACTTAAAGGCACATATACACACACAAAATTCCTATGCAAGTTCCTCCTTGGACCCTTCCACTCTTGTACTAGTTCAAAAGCAAATCTGATTAACTGTGACAATTTAGTCAATTTTTTTTTTAATTTTGCTTCTTATAAAGGTCTTATAAATTCTACAGAGCTTGCGGGCAGGTTGTCTTCTATTAAAGGATCTTCTCCCTCCTCTTATCACCTGAATTTCAGCAGTTAAACTCATACTGTTTGCTGCCATCTAGTGGTCTTTTGAATTTTGATAACCCTGCAGGTGCCTGTGAAATTAGTTCCAGTTCCACCAGCCTAAGAAGTAAGCATTTTGATCAGAACTTACCACATCTTCTCAGTATCAGTCACCCTTCCAATCCTGAACCGTGTTGAGAAAAATGCTTGGATGCAAAACTGATGACATGACATCATGTCACTGTCACAACTCTCAGTGGAGTTTTTAATTCAGGAGGGGTTATGATTTGGTAGCCAGGCAACTTCATCTTGTTACCAACACTCCAAACAATCCAAACAAATGCAACATGTATTGGAAAAAGGCGTGGAGGGGCAGTAGCCATTTATTTCATTTCCTTTTGGTTGTGCAATTTTTGTTGTTGCTTTAGGACTAGGAAATAGTGTTAGCTTGGAATACTTGTTCACTTACTTTTTTGTAAGCTCCTACTAGTCAGCCAGAGGGAGAATGCAGATTGGTTCATTATATTCTCAGCATTCCAGGAGTGAATAAAGCTGGCAGATTTGCTTCAAACTGCTTTTGAGGAATTAAGGAATAGAAATAGTGTTTTATGGACGTGCCCTTTACTTTGTCATCGTTATAGCCATAACATGCATTTCTGTAAATGGATCTGTTAAAATATATGTGTAATGTATGTTTAACAGTCCTGTCAGATTCCACTGACATGTAGGGTAATCCACTAAATATAACTATTTACCTTAAACAGTATAATCCATAGATAATGCCCAGATCAGGTTTATCAATTTTCAATTGGTCTTTGTAACTGAACCTTTAAGAGAACCTTGTGCAGACCCTACACCATTCTCCCTGCTAGCCAACTGATCAGTTGGATCAGTAGTGCAGAATGAAACTGGCAATCTGCATTAGAGCTCCCTCCCCCATCCCCAGCAACTGTAATGGTATGTGAAACCAGGGATCTGCATCAAACCCACTAGAATTTAGAAGGAAGCTACATTTCTTCTCCCTTCCTCCAGGTAAATCTGATTAAGATGGGTGGTTTCCATCTGCCATTAGCAGTGGGAAATTAGCAATACCGAGTAGGATTGCTAGAGGGAAACTTCATTTTGGGAAAATGAAAATGACAAGATTATCTCAACCCTTCTATTGGCTTGTCTGCAGATATGTATAAAGGTATATGTATATGGGTAAGTGAATATGTATGGATGTACATGTATGTATGAATATATGGATGTACATGCACAAGTGTACCCCCTGGTATTTCAGATGTAAATAATACTCAAAAACCCCTTCCTCCAGTGACCTCAAAAATTATCAGTTTTCTACAGGTCTTTTAGATCTATTTAGATACTAGACAATCCGTAACCCGTTGTGCCATTGTTTCAGAGATCTTTCCTTACCTAAAAAAGCAGTGGGAATGTGAGCAACTTGCAACTTGCTGCTGGCTTCCCCATTGACTTTGCTTGTGGGAAGCTGGCAGAGAGCATCAGAAATCTTCTTTCCTTCCTTCCTTCCCTCCCTTCCTTCCCTCCCTCCCTTCATTTCCACATATAATATAGGCTTGCGCCATTTGCCCTCCTCTCACAACTCTCAGGAGAGCCTTGGTGAAGCCTCCTCCTCCTCCTCCTCAGCCGACCAGCAGAATGCCTGCCAGTTTGCTGGGGGAGGTGGAACAAAGGGAGCTGCACCACTGCTCCCCATTCTGGCATGTCCTCAAAGGCCCCCTCGAGGGAGGAAGAGGGCTCACCCGTGGACCACTGGTGCCCCTCAGCCAGCCCTACCTCGCCAGCAGACATCCAAGTCACTCCCTCATCCTTCCCTCAGTGCCCACAGCTGTTAAGAGATTTCAGATTTCTGCCTTGTTTCCAAAGCAGCCAATTGCCACTTGCCTGTCGGGCCTTGCCACCAGGCAATTGGGTGCAGGGGACAGAGGGAGGCAGGAAAGAGGTCAGCCACACAGTGCTGAAGGAGCCACAAATTTCCCAAATTTCAATCTCGCGGGAGTAACAGGTCCTGGATTTTGGATGCATTCTGTAAGTTAGCCCATTTGAGGCACCTTGGTTCAAAAATTGTTGCACTATGAGGCACCATTTCACCCAGTTGAAGGTTACAGATACAAGAGTTTTAGTATCTGTAACCTTAGTATATAGATAAGTTTTCTACACGCATGGAAGTGTTTATGTATTTATTGACTGGAGTTTGCAGAGAACAACATTTGCCCCTTCTGTACCCAGAAAGCTATCAGCCAAGTTGCTAGCTCATGAGTGAGTGCTTCATCTCATCCCTCAGCTCAACCCTTAAACATATCCCTTCTCCCTATTATTTTAGTGAATAAATTGCAGAATCCCCCCAGCCCCATGCTTCCATGTTTGCCATGGTGACAAATTTCTGTCGCCTTCCAAATTTCCAATGCTGATGTCCTGGCAATTCTGCATTTGGACATCTTTATCTAATCATGCCAATACACCGCTAGGAAGCCAAAAATTCCCATTCAGTGAGAGCACCCCATTGAATAAAAGCAGCTGCACAATTTAAGTGCTATTTTATTGCCTTGAAATAGCATTTGATGCTTTCAGCACAGGAATATACTGAAACTGCTTATAATTGCAATCACCCACTACAGTATCATGTGATCAACAGAGAATTAATCTCACCTCATTACTGGGGTTGTTTCTTTGCCTGGAAAGTCCCAATGAGATCACATATATGTTAAATTAAATGACTTCGTGCAGTGCAATTTCAGATATATGTCTTACCATGAATGCCGCAAGATCCTGTAGTTTTCTTCAAAATGATGAAAGCAGAATTGCACTCCTCAAGCAGTGTCCAGCCCATGGCTGGACCACAAGCCCACTGCAGTACAAGCAGTATCACAACACATTACAAAAAGGAGTAGCTTGTGCCATACTGCTTTCATGAACCCCTCCAGGAATACTGCCATGAGTCCTATTATTTTCAAAATCTAATGGGTAGGATATGAACAGCATACATACTTGATTTTGAAAGGTCTTGCACAAGAACTTTTTCAGACAGTAGAGGTTGATGTACATGGGAAAGTTGTGATTTTTTAAATGTGCTCATATATTTAAAAAATTAATGCAGATTAACTGATACCTATATTGGCTGTGTAATGTATAAGATGCAATCTGGTTACTGAATTAACCCATTTTTCTGGTTTTGTACAAGACACTGAACCATAAACATCAAATAGGCAAGGTTCACACAGTATGCTAAAACAAAACAAGAACCAATCTCTCCTGTTGAAATAATTGTGAATGATGTGTGGCAGAAGTCAGATGCAGAAATTGGTTGAGAGGTGTGACTTTTGCTGTGGTAAAACTTCCTTTGGAAAGGCTCAAGAGATGATAGAGAGTGTGGGTGTGGGTGTTGGGTAAGATCCTGCCTCTAAACAAGGGGCTGAATGGAGAAGCTTTTGGTCTCTTTCAGCTCTGTGACTGTTAAACTAAGCTTTCCCTTCGTACTGTATGACAATATATTGTCTCTTAATATAACTCCTGTTACTACCTCAAACTGAAATGGGGAGCTATGATTTTTAAGCTGGATTTTGATTGATTTGGGAACACTTTGGAAGCTTACCAACAGTATTTTTCATGAGCAGGAAAGACAAGCTTCCCCAAAAGACAGTTTGCTCACTAACTATTGAGTTGCAGAGGGCTGGGGAGGTTTGAAAGTGTATATTCACTTTCATGTTCATGAAAGCAGTCCAGGACAGCCCAGCAGGCTTAGCAGGGCTCAGTGCTAACCAACTTTTCTTCAGAATTTATTCCAGAATATATAAGGCACTTGAGTTTCATGGCAGGCAAAATTATGCAAAAAAAGTTCATTGAAAAGGAAAGACTGAAAGAGCTGAACTGCTGCAAACAAAATTTGCATGATTTTATATCTGTGGAACTCTTTGGAAAAACAGCTTGCATTTTCTTGCCTGCTTCGAAACCGCACATTAGGAGCTGTTTCAGCGTTGCCACCGTTCCCCTTGTCTTCTGCAGCCAGCAGCTTTTTACCTCTTCGGTTTTCTTCTTCAGGTTGCCTTCCATGCCAGGCCTGCTGGCTCAGCTCCCCATCCCTTAATCTGACTCCTACAGACTTGGCAAGTTCAAGGTGACTTGTTCAAATCAAGACAATTTCCCGCCTCCTTTTCCACCCACTTTCTCTCTGCCGGCTTCTCCTCAACCAATCAGGAAACTTTCAGGGCTGGGTTTGAAGGGCTCCTCCCCCCCCAAGTGCAAAATTACATGTTTCTTTCCTGAGCCTTTCTGTAAACAACCTGAGCCCTTTGCTTTCATGTAAGCAGCAATTTTTTTAAAAAAGGAGGGCCATTGCTTGCTCAGCAGAATTAAAAGGGCTGTTCAGAAAATGTGGCTGGCTTCCAGTTCATTTGGTGCTTTTGCATCTGTGTGACTGAAGGACTTCTCTGATCCTTCTCTCTTCTACACAGTCAGGAGGTAGCTGGCACTGACGTCCAAAATTGGAACAGATACCACCATACTGTAAGTTGCTGGGAGTTTAAATTCAGGGAGCGTATTTTGATTTCCTTTCTTTTCTTCTTTTTTTTCCCTCCGATTTTGTGGCTTCTTCAAACTGACAGCTAACACAGAGAATTGCCTTCCAAACCCCTCTGCTGGTTGATTCTGTTTTTGCAGTGGTGCTGGAAGAGGCGCTAGGCTTTTTTGTAATGCACAATGAATGAATGATGCAATCCCAAAGAGGGGAAACATCAGCATCTCAATCAGGAGCAGAAGGTTGTTCTGTTTGTATACTGGATAACATGTATCATTTTGAGGCTCCTTTCCGTCCACTAAAAAGTTTTTAAAAATACAAGATAAGCTATATCCAAATCATCAACAATTGTTTCAGTGGAAATTAGTTTCAAGTAAATCTGTCAAGGATTGCTGTCTGCACCACTTCTTATTATGAAGAGGTTACACTCTGATTATGAAGAGATTACATTTATTATTCTGGATTACACTCAAGGTAAAATAGACCATGTAGTCCAGCAGCCTGCTTTTCACAGTGGCCACTCAGATCCTTCAAGGAAGCTGAGGCACGGGGTGTGAAAATGCTGCCTTGTTTACACTGGGTGCTTAGACAGATCTGCTGCTGAACATGGAGGTTCCATTCTGTTCCCATCAGTAATCACCCCCAATAGATCTGTTTATATCAGTTTGACCACTATTTTGAAAGCATTTTAAGCTTCTATTTTTAAAGCAATATTTTTATGTTTAAAAGCAATTTGAACCAAGGTTGCATATTCTGATGTTGAAGAAATGTTTTATTTTGCCAGGGAAAAATAATGCAGGATTCTGTGGAGTTAGAAAACGTACCTTCATTGTTACTAAACAAAGTATTGAGTGTAGTTATCTGAAAGAAACCGAAACAATGTGCTAATGAAAGGAAATCTTTAAAAAAAGAAAAAAGAAAGAAAAGCAGAACCTTTCAAATGCAGTTATGTAAATGGCCTTCAGTTTATCTGGGCTGCAGTTCTGCAATCAGTTCTGTACATAGAAACCCCTTGGGTTTAGTGGAAAACTGTAATGTAACTTTATTTAGGATTGCCGCATCTGTATCAAGCAAAATTCTCACCGATACTTGCTTTCTGCAGCATTTGCAGTATAGAGGCCAGTGTCCTGAGCCGATCAACAGTTCAGCAAGGGTACAGAAGGAAACAAATAGCCTAGGAGTAACAGACAGGGCACAAAATTCACATATACTGATTACTGAGACCCTCCAAAGCTCCTGCAATTCATTATCTTTATAGAGAGAGTTTGCATGCCTGTCAGTTGGGACTTTCCCCCACCAGGCCAAGAAACTGGGAGCTTTTCTTTTTAACAAATACCGAAGCTATGTATTGTTTGTAGCAGATTCCACAGATGATGCTCCCAGTCCCTGATGGAATCACATTATATTCCCACATTTTGTTTCTATTTTTTAAAGGTAGAAGAAAGGAGGAATTGGATTCCAATGCAGAGGAAATTCAGATTCTTAAAACTGTGTTGTCATCACTGATGTGCTTAATGAAATTAGTGTTATTGATATTTTTTATTATTTTCATTATTCTTACTTTGCCTATAGGCAAAAAATGATAAAAAGTCTCAAGAAAGTTGACAAGAAATAGCCACAGATATATATAAAAAATAATATTGACAAAAATTCTGCTTAAAATGCTGCTCTAATTTTTTTTTAACATATTAACACAGCTTTCTTTTTCTTCTTGGTGATTAGGGTGAACTGCTTTGCACAAAACAAAAACAAAACAGATTTTTGAAACTGCTGGTTCAAGTTCCTTGCTTTAAAAAGGATGATTCTCCACTGTCAACATTTTTTTTTAAATCTTTAAAATCTAGGGCTGGCCTGTTTAGGAGAGGTCTCCCAGACATTTCTCTCAAAGCCAAGACTCTCTCCTTTCTAAACAGATATTCTGGATTCACCTGTTACTTGCCTATTATAAGCCAAGTGGACAAAGAGCAAGCATATAAGTGGTGGGTTGCACATTTTCTCAGGCTGTGATGCTTGAAGTCCCTGAGCAGTGGTGCAGCAACAAGGCCTTTGTCTCCCCTTGGCATGGCCCAATTCCCTTCTGTTCAGATATGGGGTCTTGCCAATTGCATCTACAGGAAGTAACTTGCTAAACGTCAACCTACTGCATGCTGAGCAAAGCACAAATGAGAGAAGGCTCAAAGCAAAAACCAAGCAAGGAAGTTGACATACTAGCATAGAGAATATTGGTGGGTTCACATATCCCATTAAATGATTATTAGTTTTACTGTGGTTTATGGCTTGTTCAACAAGCATGGCTATTCTGTGTGGCTCTGATTCCAGAGTCATAAGATACTTTGAAGATGAAGCCACTTCAAATTCTTACATTAGGCATTGGCAGATCCTGACAGCAATTTCTACTGCCTTCTGTTGCTCCACTGCTGCCCACAGGGTCTTCCGTTTTATTTTTTTCAGTTCCAAAGGTGGAAAGCAAATATTAATTCCCCATCACTATGAGAAACTGAGCAAAAGGAAAAAAGCCTGCATGTGTACAGTTGGTTGTTTAGTCGTTAAGTCGTGTCCGACTCTTCGTGACCCCATGAACCATATTGTGCC